TTAAAAATATATATATATATATATATATATATATATATATATATATATATATATATATATATAATATGATAAAGAACAAATAAAGAACAAAACTATTTATATATATATATCGATGTTTGCGTTAGTACGATGACATAAGCGACGAAATTTCCCCCACCACTTCAACAATAAACACCAATACACGCAATCTACATAAACCCAAATTTAAAAAAAATTAATCAGTTTGTCTGACGATCGCTAAAGCGTGAAACCCAGGGTCACAAACTCACATCTATCCAACCAAATATGTTAGCTCTATTCTGATATTGAGCGCTTCCTATTAAGTATATGTATATAATATATAAATAATTATACATATATATATTTATTTATATTTTATATACACTTTTCACACACACACATATATATATATATATATATATATATATATATACATACATAAGATAAAGAACAAATAGAAAACGCTTAATAATCTAACATATTTCGCTTTTATTAAAGCTCCATCATAAAATGAGATATGGTTAAAAAGAAGAAATAAATTCTGGTATTTTCAATTATTGTTGTTTGATTTTCATTGTTTAATCAGTTTTTACGTGCATTATAAATTATGATGTTCCAAATTCAAGGAGAGACGACATGTCCCTTCGAAGTTCCAACAAAATTAACGCATTCCAAGTTGTATACGGACACCCACTAATCTACAGCATCTCAATTTTCATGAAGTAGTATTCATATAAAATTAAAAAAATTGATTGTAAACTAACTATACACAGTAATGTATCATAAGTAATGTAGGTGAACAATTCAACAAGAAATACTAAAAATAATTACAATATACCTAAATACAAATTAGACATGTCGTAATAGATCATTCCAATTTAAGTAATGTCTTGCGATAATCTTTAACATTAACGTGAGATTTTTCTTGTTAAAAAGTAGAAAAATGCTAACACATTCAACTTTATGACTAAAGAAATAGTGACTTTAATATAGCGTTTTGTCGAAACTTATAAGCAAAACAAACAAAGTCTCAAAATGACGTCAAAATGAGCGACAAATTTTCGTCCTTTAATCATCTGTGATATTTGGTTACATGTGTAACGTATATAGTGTGATTTACCAAGGGTAGCTCAGATGTGGCACAAGGCCGAATGTAGAGGGCACCCCGTGAGGATCGAACTCACTTCTCAGGCGTAAATGTTCTAGCGAGACAAGCTTGCTAGCCATTACATCGCCTCGTGTAATGCATATAGATGCAGGTAGACAACAGCAGATCTTGATAAGATAACGAGGGTCACAAAGCATGGCCAGGACCCCAAATCAGGCTAAGACATCTTCGCGCACATGAAGTTCGATGGTTAATAACGCCTACCCTGTGCGTAGATTAAATATAAGGGTTACCCTGATAGACAACTAAAGAATGCCACAGGTTACAACGATTGAAACGCTGTGATAATAACAACAAAGGTAAGGATAAGAGTTCGAATGTAAATCATGTGAATAATTTCTCATCCCAGAAATTCAGGCCGGAAGTTCAGCATGTTATTTATTTATTTATTTGATATTCAATGTTCCGGTTTCGGGCATCATTTCCGTTTTGTTATTATTTACTTATTAAAAGGTTGCCGTTTTTGTGTCAAGGGGACTTTCATCTTAGCATTGTCATGTCTGTTTTATTTTATTTTTGCCCTCTTTTCCAATATATATAATACAAAAAGACACGCTAGAATAAATCCGATGCAAGTCAACAAATGGAAATGATTGGAAAAAAAAATTGCTAAAGTCAGCACATTCTTGTTGAACAAATAATAAGATTACGCGTGTTTCCTTGTGATGAAATGATTGTTTCAGTGGTGATGAATCAGGGAAGGCTGTTTCGAAAAAGGAAATATTAATGGTTATTACGCAACACGTCAGTCTAAAAGTGTGATGCTATGACAAAAGCAAATAATTGATAGAATGCGTTCTACAAGAAAGAAAGGGGAAAAAAAGTCAATAATGGAATGGAAGAGAGGCGAATAGGAGAAGGAAAATTAAAAACGAAAGAAAGGCGATGGATGGATGGAAGATATTAGCAAAAGAAATGAAAAAGAAAAAAGTGACATGTTGAAATGAGAAAGAAAAAAAAAGAAAGAAAATGAGAAAAAAATGAAAAGACGATTAAAAAGGAGTTAAAGAAAGAAAGAAAGAAAGAAAGAAAGAAAGAAAGGGGAAGGAAAGAAAAAGTGAGATACAGACAAAAGTGAGATGCAAAAAAGAAAGAAAGAAAGAAAGAAAGAAAGAGATACACAAGGAAATATGCAGAAATGAGACATGAAGAAAAGAAAAGAAGGAGAGAACGAACGGAAGAAAGAAGGAAAAGAGAAGGAAAAGTAATAAAGTAAAAAGAAAGGCGATTGATAGAAGCAAAAGAAATAGAAAGAAAATAAAAGAGACACTAAATAATCTAACGCAGTCTAGCTCTCTCTCTCTCTCTCTCTCTATATATATATATATATATATATATATATATATATATATAAATATAGATAACTAGACTCGTTTCGAAAACCATCGAATTTTTTGATTTGCTAATCAAATCAATCTCGAGGGAAAAAGGTTTTAAAAAAGAAAGAGCTACAAACATGAACTTCTGCCGAAAAAAAAAATCGCACAGATGCAGGTCTGAAGGCCAAAGAAAAAAACCCCGATACGAGTAACAACTAACTAACAAAAGAGCTCAATACAACCGTAGAGCAGACTTTCCCTGACGATCCGTTTAGATGAAACCTAGGTAGGTTTGTCTGGCTCATAGGTGCATCTATATATATATATATATATATATATATATATATATATATATATATATATATATATATATATATATATATACCACAGTCTAGCTATATCGATCAATGTGTCGACCATAGTCGAGTTATATCTATCTACCATAGTCTAGATATATCTGTCTACCACAGTCTAGTAATATCTATCTATTTGTCTATCTAGCTCAATCTACTTATATCTATCTACCACAGTCAAGTTTATCTATCTATCTATCTACTACAGTCAAGTTTATCTATCTATCTATCTATCTATCTATCTATCTATCTACTACAGTCTAGTTATACGAGCTATTCATGTATCTATAACAGTCTAGTCATAACTATCACAGTCTAATATCTATCGATCATACTAGAATCATATCTATCTATCTATCTATCTATCTACAGTCTAGTTATACGGGCTATTTATGTATCTATAACAGTCTAGTCATAACTATCAGAGTCTAATAATATTTATCGATCACAGTAGAATCATATCTATCTATCTATCTATCTATCTATCTATCTATCTATCACAATCTAGATCTACCTACCTATCTACCACTGTCTAGTTCTATCTATCTATTTAAGGAAAGAAAGAAGAAAAATGCTATATAAGTCCTCATATATTGCAGTGAGTTGCTAGATGATGCCCTAACAAAGGATGATATAAGGCAAGAATGATGTAGTTCTACAGAAAGATGTTGAGAAAAACATGGACGGGGCAATAGGCAACATATGCCTAAAAATCAGAAAGGGGTAGCTGAAACTACTGGCGCACGATATGAGACAGAAGGCCTGGAAAATTTAAAGACTCGCTTGATATATTGAAGGGGAAAACAGCGCGTAAGCATTCAGACAAGCTTATGCAAAAATGAAAATAACACTGACATCAGTTTAACAGATATATTTACACAAAATTACGCAAAAATATTTTAAAATGCTAAAGAGGAAATTTATTCAATAAACTCGCCTTTAACTTCAACCACAGTCTTCAGATGACATCAGAATCTCTTGCGACTCTTCTGGGCGGTTTTCCTGTGTAAGTTGATAACTGATACCATAATCCTTGCATTTAGCTCATCTTTGGTGTTACAATGAGTTTTTGTCCCTCGCTCAACTGCACCCATGCATAATAATCAAGGGAGTGCATTCTGGGGTGTTAGGTGGCCAGATGTCTGGGTAAAGTAGTCGCAGAAATTGTCTGACACCTATGACAGTGTTCTCCTGCTTCTGTGGCATAGTGAAGACTCCTGTTACCAGATTAGGTTTTTTCCATATAGGGTTTTTCCAGTAGCCACCCTCTTGACCCAAGGTTGCACTACCTCCTCAAGGCATTTGATGTAGGCCTCCGTGTTGAGTCTGATGCCCTTTGTGAAGATGAATGGAGGCATAACATCGCCATCACTACTGATCACTCCGATGTTGAATGTATATTTGTTTTTCATCACGCACGGTTCATCTATTGGGAAGAAATATTGGCACTCAAAAACTCCGAAATGTTCATATTTGAGCTTCCAGCGCGAATGTCAAGCGGTACATCATGTGGTTTCCAAAGTGAATTCTATCATGGTGATATTTTTCTCACAGACGGTGCCCAACTGACCCTATATTAGCCACCTAACTCCCAAGAGTGCACCCCTTGATATATTGTGCAGTCGACAAAATCAAAAACAAACAACGTGCAGCATAAAAGTAAGAATATTAATGGGAGACAATTTACTCATCGCACCCTATCTATCCACAAAAGTCTAGTGATATCTATCTATCTATCTATCTGTCTATCACTGTCTATTGATATCTATCTATCTATCTATCTAACTAACACTGTCTAGTCATATCTATCTATCTATCTATCTATCACTGTCTATTGATATCTATCTATCTATCTATCTATCTATCTATCTAACACTGTCTAGTCATATCTATCTATCTATCTATCTATCTATCTATCTATTGATATCTATCTATCTATCTATCTATCTATCACTGTCTAGCCATATCTATCTATCTATCTATCTATTTATCACTGTCTATTGATATCTATCTATCACTGTCTAGTCATATCTATCTATCACTGTCTATTTCTATCTATCTATCTATCTATCTATCTATCTATCACTGTCTAGTCATATCTATCTCTTTATCTATCTATCTATCACAGTTTAGTCATAACTATTTATATATTTCGTTGAATAATCTGGACATATTATTTCTATTTATTTTTATAATGATCCTTTCTAATTCTCTAATCCATTTATTGATGCTGAGAAGAATTATAAGAAAAGAACAACAAAAATAAGCACATGCACTCTAAACTATAAAAGTGAATGCCCCGAGGATTACAAAACAGATATTATACAAAATTTAATAAACAGTGCAAAAGTTAACTCTTTCACGATAAAGAATTTCTACACTGAATTCAGAAACATTAAACAACCTCTTATTGATAATGACTTTTACATCGTTAATGAACAAATTAGACGAGCTATTAGAAATATTGAAGCTGTATTAAACTTACAGCAACTGCTGTCTGTCTAACTCTCTGCATTAGCAGGGAGGAACCCGGACGAAGCTTTGCCGAAGGGCAAGGTTTCGTTCGGGGAGGTTGACAGCTCTCGTACCCGCCTAGGCGGGTTCGAAGGCTATATTTTTGGCCGGGCCTACGGGCTCGGATGACCCACATTAAACTCGGCCTTTGTGCCACATGCTACCACACGTGGGCGGGGGGGGGCAGCTAAATATAGCTATTAGAAATATTGACATGAATAAAAAAGAACATAATATTTCCTCAAATAACCCTAAATATTTCAACTTACTATAACGCAAACTAACTACAAACAAAATGAAAAAATCCTAAAAATTCTCATAAGTACTAATATACTCCCTACTGATCCCAGTGAAAAAATAAAACTAATTATACACATACTGAATTAAACACAACCAACTAAATGATACGCAATAATTCTCTCCGTCTACTAGTGGTTTGGAAAAGACCAACATTGTATATCACTTTAAATGCCCTTTGGGAGATTGTATCTCTGACAAAAAAAAGTATTAATATATATGTTGACTTGACAATCACAACATTATCAAGACGTCTTACACTCCATATTTCGGATACAACATTTAAAGACACATACCTGTTCACCTTTAGAGAAATACTTGAGGACAACACCAATATACTACAGCATGAAAATAATAAACAATAACCTTAAATCCTCGATGCCCTCTATATCAAAAGCAACCAACCAACATTGAACAAAATTTATAATGATTTTATTAGCAATGTTTTGAAATGTGTTTGACCTAAATTCAATGCTATTTTGTATTTTTAACCTAACTGGTTACACCCCTTAGATTGTGAACGCATGTTTACAAAGAACACCATAGGTACAACGGTTAATTTAAAAATAATTATAACAAAGCACGTTCACGCGTGTTTATAAAAATCACAACGATCACAGTTACATTAAGTTTTGTCATAGCAATTCACACCTCGGAAGATGATCTTGAAGTTGATCGAAAGTACTTGGGAATCTACGCTGCTTTCCTTTAGGATTTTCATCTCAACATCAAGAAATGTATTTGAAAATTAGAAAGGATTATTATGAAAATAAATAGACATATGTCCAGAAACTGTATCCTATAGAGAACCGTCATATAGCCTGACGTGCTCTACCTATTATCTACAGAGGAAGCGTCTGGTTATCAAAGTCAAATTATTGCACTAAAACCATGGGAAATGCGTAGAGTAAAAAAAGTATATATATATATATATATATATATATATATATATATATATATATATATATATGGGATAACGATAAATGATTTTTTATATATGTTTAACAATTTAAGGAAAAAAGTATGACAAAGATTTTAAAATTAAAGATAATTTTTTCGTGTGTTTTGAGTAGATAATCTAGCCTATTTCATTTAGATTGTTTTTTCTTTTTGTTTGTATTTCCATCCTTTTTTCTATTAAATATCAAATTTAAAAATCTTTAAACTGAAAATTCCCAGCGTCTCTCTTTCGTGCGCATGCGTCGTCGCATCAACGTAAGCATAAATTTAGTCCGATGTCTTAAGGACGAAACACATCAGACGAAACGTTTCTTTTTTTATCATATGTCATTCCCTTAATATATATATATATATATATATATATATATATATATATATTGATGAGCTGTGTACCTTTTATGGTTGTGAATTCAGCATGAGACGGTGCTGATTACTGTGCTACTAATCTCAAGATTATCTCAAGAACTAGAAATTTACGGACTCTTGTAGAAGTTGACATGGAACAGATTATTTATGCCAAAACAGAAATGTTTTGATGTTTTACGACCGAAAAAACAAAGAAATAAAGAAAACAAAAAAAAGAAGTAAATAAAGAGAATTAAAATAAAAAGAAGAAAAGAAAGAGAAAGAAAAGAAAGAAAAGCAAAAAAGAAGAAACGGAAGAAAAAGAAAAGGGAAGAAAAAAGAACAGCAAAAAAAGAAGAAAAGCTAAAAATTAAGAAAAGAAAGAAAAATAAAAACGAAGAAAACAAAGAAAAACCAAAAAGAAATAAAAGAATGCAAAGCAAAAAAAATGAGAAAAGAAAGAAAAGCAAAAATATTATCGCAAATATTTGCTACCATAAAAAAGATTCAGTGAAGGAAATAGAAATCATTGAGACTTGCATAAATGAAGAAATGTCAGAAAGGACACAAGACTAAAGGAGAATTATGGATTAAAAGTAATTGGAAAGATTAAAAAGTCTTGTTTGAATTTGACGTGGAACAGAATATTTATGCCGAAAGAGAAATGTCTTTAATGGCTTACGACCGGAAAATCAAAGAAATAAATACATAGGAAAAAAAATAGGAAAAGAAGAAAAATTTAAAAAAGATGAAAAGAAAGAAAAACAAAAAATGGAAAAAAAGAAAAAAAGAAAGAAAAATTAAAAAAATGAAGAAAAAAATGAAGAATAGAAAGAAAAGCGCAAAAAAGGAAAAGAAAGAAATCCAAAAAAAAGAAGAAAAGAAAGGAAAACGAAAAAAGAAGAAAAGAAAGAAAAAACAAAAAGAAAGAAAAGAAAGAAAAACCAAAACAGGAAGAAAAAAAGGAAAGCAAAAAAGAAAGAAAAACCAAAATGGAAGAAAAAAGAAAAACAAAAACAGAAGAAAAAAAAGAAAAACAAAAAAGGAAGAAAAAAAGAAAAAAAAGAAAAAAAGAAGAAAAGAAAGAAAAGCAAAAAAAGAAAAAAGAAAGAAAAAATAACAGGAAGAAAAGAAAGAAAAGCAAAAAGGAAGAAGACAGGAAATAAAAAAGAAAAAACAAAATAAAAAAGCAGAAAAGAAAAAGAAGAAAAAAAAAGAAGAGCAAAAAGAAAAGACAAAGAAAAGCAAAAAAAAGAAAAGGAACAAAGAAGAAAAGAACGAAAAACAAAAAGAAGATAAAATAGAAAAGCAAAAAATAAAGAAAGGAAACCCCCAAAAAAAGAAAAGAAAGAAAAGCAAAAATGCTCAAATAAGTTACACTTTATCTTCAGGATGATTTTTTAAAACAATTTATCAGTCTAACCGCGCTTTAATTGTTGTTTTTTGTACACGAAAAAACAATGAACACAAATGTTACTGATATGATCACGTATGTTACTGATATCTCCGCATGCCTTTCTACCACAATTATTACAAGCTGTGTCTACTTTATGTCCATATGGTGATATTTCTAAACGTAGTTTACATGTGGCACAAAGCCGAAAGTATGAGATACCCAGTGAGGAACTAACTCATTATTTAGTCGTAATAGATCTCACGAGACAAGCTTCATGAGCATTACACCATCTTTTCGCTCATTTTTACGGTCATAGGTTTGTAATTCACATAAATAGGGCGAATAAAATCAGAAACCCCATGTAATTCCCTACTTGACTAACTACAAAAAATTGTTTTGCCGATTGTAAAATATTAAACAAAAAACACTTTGTGCAATACTAATGGAAGGATAATTTAATGCGTAAGCGCGCGATGAAAAAGACGGATCGGCATACTGACTAATTTGCATGTTTCAACAGTTTAATGCCTTATTTTTAAATTCGCACGGCAGCGAATGTTGGACGATTTCCTCAAAGATGAAGAAGAGACTCGAGGCGACGGAGATGTGGTTCTACAGATGGATGCTAAGGATAACATGGACCGAACGTGTGAGCAACGATGAGGTCTTAGAGAGGATGCAAACAAGGAGAACGCTTATACATAACATCAGAAAGAAGCAGCTGATGTTTCTGGGACACGTAATGAGGAAGGAGAGCCTGGAGAATCTGATACTCACGGGTCGAATAGAGGGGAAGAGAGACAAGGGAAAGCAGTACGTGACATACCTGACGAATTTGAGCAGGTGCTTGACAGAACGTGGTCTTGGGTGGGGAAGCAGAGAGAAGAGACTTGCTGAGAGCTGTAAGGGATAGAAGGAGGTGGAGAGCCATAATCGCCTACGTCCTGAAAGGACATGGCACACATTAAGATTCTTTATTCATGACGACTTAGAGAAACTGTAGCAATGTTTCAGTTTAACTTGTTAAGACGGGCCTTGTATTGGTCCTGTTTTTTTTTTTTTTTTTTTTTTTATACAGTGTAACCCGGATATAAGAGACCCGGATATAAGAGAGATTTTCTCTGGTCCCAAAGTGTTCCCATACTTACGTAAACAAAATAGACCAAACCCGGATATAAGAGACTTCTTTTCCGGTCCCAACAACTCTCTTATATCCGGGTTACACTGTAAGGATTTATTATCGGAAGGTTTAGATGTTTCAGTAGATAAAAGTTCTCGAAATATAGATGTTAAATGTCCTGATATGTGAGTTGTCTTGTTGGATAAGTGAATTATTTTGTTATGATAAGTCTATTATTAAAACGTCATATTCAATACGAGAAAGTAATATTTAAGTAAAACATATCTTTAATCTCCATTCTTAGAGAGGTTCATTTTCACATGATCACATAATGCGAGGTGGTTGAAAAAAAAAAAAACAAAAAAAAAAAAAACAGATTCTAGCTTTTTCGCCAGAAGGGCGTTTTCCTATTTTACTAGGGAATCATGGGAATTTTTTTGTTTTGTTTTTCGTGTGATCTCAAGACCACAACAAACTCACCCATTCTAAGATTAACTCTACATAGATATCTGACCAGAAGTTAAACACAACTAACGGAGAGAACTGGTAATGGTTCTCGGGGATGTTTTGTTTTGCTTCAACTGACATTTTGTTTTTTATTTGGGTCTGGACTACCCCCTTTTTTCCCTTGAAATTTCTAGTGAAAATTAACAAATTACTGTCAACGTCTCTTCGGTATATTTAGAAAAAAAAAACAACATAGGAAGAAAAGAAAAAAAAAGCAGAAAACTATGAATTAATTAGAAAAGGATTATCTTACTGGAGTATTAGTGTTTGGAAATATGACGAATAACGCAAAGAAAGTCGGTTTACTCTATCGAGCGAAGCAATTCAACGCTCCTGAATCTATTTTGCATATCTATAAGTCTACCATTTGCCTATGCTTAGAATATTACTGCCATATATGGTCCAGTATCCCTGGGATATACTTAGAGCTCCTTCATAAGATCCAAAAAAGAATTAGCAATATTATGGGTCCTGGTATGACGGCTCGGCTTCTGTCACTTGCCCACCGCCCTAAGGTTATCTCTCTTTGCCTTTCTTTATAAATATTTCCATGGTAATTGTTTGGGTGAGCACTTTGCTATTGTCGTGGGGGTTTGTTACTAATATTATTTTCTTTAGTTTCTTGTAAATAGTTTTGTATTCATATTGTAAATACTCATTGGGGCAAGTTTTAGAATTGTTGTTTTTATTCCCCTCCCCCCACAGACAATGCATTGTAAATATGGGGACTAGTTTTCGAAGATCGTCCTTTCCCCAAACCCCACTTCGGCCATGTGCCACATTTCTGTATATAACAGAATAAAAATTGCTCTTCGCTATGCTGTTGATTTATTGCCTTCACAAACAATGAAATTGTACATATGGGGACTAGTTAGTATTTTCATAAGAGACAATGAGGTAATATGGTGGTTGTAGTAAGAAAGGTACGTATGAATGTGTTGTTTTGGTGTAAGGAATATTGTTCGTAGGACTGGGTCAGTATGTGCGGCTAGCTAAGTTATAGTTAAGACAGAAGAAGACTGTCCTTTCTCCAAATCCCCTTTTCGGCCTTGTGCCACATTTCTGTATTAAACAGAATAAATATCGCTCTTTGCTATTGTCGTGGGGGTTTGTTACTAATATTATTTTCTTTAGTTTCTTGTAAATATTTTTGTATTCATATGGTAAATACTCATTGGGGCAAGTTTTAGAATTGTTGTTTTTATTCCCCCCCACCACCACAGACAATGAATTGTAAATATGGTGACTAGTTAGTATTTTCATAGAGACAATAAGGTATTTTGGTGGTTGTAGTAAGAAAGGTACGTATGAATGTGTTGTTTTGGTGTAAGGAATATTGTTTCAATGATTGTGTCAGTGTTTGTGGCTAGCTAAGTTATCGTTAAGACAGAAGACCGTCTTTAACCCAAACCCCACTTCGGCCATGTGCCACATTTCTGTATATAACTGAATAAAAATTGCTCTTCGATATGCTGTTGTTTTATTCCACTCCCCTCACAGAGAATGAAATTGAACATATGGTGACTAGTTAGTATTTTCGTAGAGACAATTAGGTATTTTGGTGGATGTAGTAAGAAAGGTACGTAAGAATGCGTTGTTTTGGTGTAAGGAATATTGTTCGTACGATTGGGTCAGTGTTTACGGCTAGCTAAGTTATAGTTAAGACAGGAGAAGACCGTCCTTTCCCTTAATCTCTCCTACGGCCATGTGCCACATTTCTGTATATTAAACAGAATAAATATCGGTCTTTGCTATTGTCGTGAGGGTATATTACTAACATTATTTTGTTTAGTTTCTTGTAAACAGATTTGTATTCATATTTTAAATACTCATTGGGGCTAGTTTTGAAATTGTTGTTTTATTTCCCTCCCCACAAACCATGCATTATACCGAAGGGGACTAGTTAGGATTTTCATAGAGACAATGTGGTATTATGGTGAATGTAGTAAGAAAAGTAAGTAAGAATGCGTTGTTTTGGTGGAAGGTATACTGTTATATATTTGGGTCAGTGTTTGTGGCTAGCTAAGACAGAAGAAGACCGTCCTTTTCTCCATTTCCCATT